GCCCCGCCCCGCCCCGCCCCGCCCGGCGGTGTGTGATTCTATGGGAGTTAGCTGGGATTGGAAATAGCATAAATCTCAAAGTGAGGGGGAATTATTTATCCGTAAAGGTTAGTAATCTAAAATGGAGACGGCTCAATATGAGAACGCTTTGGAAAAGTAATTCACGTATGGGCCAAGAAACGCCAAATCTTAATGCAGGACTCTATATTTTTGAAAGAAAGAAAGAAAAAGGTTAAACTGCCTTTTCTAGAGAAACCTTAAACCAATATAATTTTCACTCCTTTATTCTATCAACCAACCTATGAGGTAGATCAAGCTGAGAAATTAATAAGTCATTCTGAGAACTTCTTGCCTGAGTTTAATATCGGCCACTTTAGGCCTTGCCTAGCAGAACAGCAAATCTACATCATAGGTTGTCATAGTGGCTGTCATACACATGGGGAAAATAATTGGGATGAAGCAGAAATGATACAGAAAGAACAACTACTACTACATTAGGGCTAGATAGAAGATAGTATTTTGTGATCGATCTATATATACAGTGCTTGTACATGACTAACCAAGAGTTCAGATTTCCAGTTACTCAAGCAAAAGGAAAACATGATTCTTCACTACTTTTATTGCTGACATAAAGCTGAGAGGAAGCTAACTAGGGGCTTTTCCGCATGGCCATATTAAAGTGCTGCTATCTAATCTGGGAACAAATCATTCTCTGCCACTTCATTCCCCCAAGAGAAGGGGGAAAGAAGATACTCAATCTCACTTTTTTTACTCCCCTCCACCATTTCTCTCACCAGGTGAAGTAGGGAAAAGAAGAAAGAGAATGGGGTCTTTCTCAACCCCCCCCCCCCGCTCCCCAAGTGCTGGCTGCAAAACCACTTCCCCATGCTTCCCATCCTATCCAACCTTTTGGCACAATGGAAGTGCTGCCCTGCTGCCAAAAGACAAATGACTCTGATAATCAGTGGCCATAGGCTAAGGGTGTGTGCCTACAGTGGTATTAGGTAAATATCATTAGGGCAGACCCCTGCCCCAAATTTACCCTGAAATTATTTGATGTCAACTGACCAGCATGGTTTGGGCCAAAAGTGGAACAAAGAAAGTTAATAGAGGTTACCTTCATGGTGTGCTAGGTACAGATTGAGGACACCATGTATTCATGTCCTCAACAGTTGGGAGGTTGTCCTCAGATTGGGGCAAGCAACATGTGTGAAGGACTTAGCTATTGATTTTTATATAAAAAGACTGTACTCTGTGTACCAGTTCTGTTCAGTTCTGGTACATAAAACAAGTCTTAAATTCCAGAGGTGTACACTCCAATCTTTAGTAGTTGGCTCTAAGAAATAGAACAAAAACAATGTAGACCTTGAAAGATGAAGTTTACCTCTTTGGAACTATGAGATGGTATGAGTGAATGAACTGAAATGACTTATTTTGACCTCAGAGAGCAATTAAAAGATACCATCTTACATCTTGACAGCTGCCAGTTACTAGGAATATACTCCCTACTTTCCTTTTTGGAGTGGATATAATGGCCAGGTATTCCTACTATATTTACACATTATTATCTATAATGTTCTATTTGCTTCT